ACTGTACTGATGGATACAATGATACAAACTGTGAGATTGGTAAGTTATATTCAATATATATTTTGTTCTATGGATATTTAAAAGAATAAATTTATAGTATGAATAGATAAAATGTTGTTTTTTAATTTGATGTTCATTTTCTATTTTTTTTTATACAGAAATCGACGAATGTGACTCTGATCCTTGTCAAAATGGTGGAACTTGCACCGATCTGATTGCTGCATATAAATGCAATTGTACCGATGGATACAATGGAACAAACTGTGAGATTGGTAAGTTATATTAAATATATATTTAGTCCCATGGATATTTGAAATAATTCAATAATAGTATGTAGGGGAAAACGTGTTTTTTTATAGTTTGATGAGTACTTCCTATTTCTTACACAGAAATCGACGATTGCGATTCCGACCCTTGTCAAAATGGTGGAACTTGTACCGATCTGATTACTGCATATAAATGCAACTGTACCGATGGATACAATGGTACAAACTGTGAGATTGGTGAGTTACATAAAATATTTTCCGTGAAATATTACTTGTGTTGGATACTGTGAATATTTAAAAGAATTCATTTATAGTATGAATAGCTATAAGTGTTTTGTTTTTTAATTTGATGTGCATTTTCTATTTCCTTTCACAGAAATAAATGAATGCGACCCTGATCCTTGTCAAAATGGTGGAACTTGTACCGATCTGATTGCTGCATATAAATGTAACTGTACCGATGGATACAATGGTACAAACTGTGAGATTGGTAAGTTACATAAACATATTCTCGTTGAAATGTTACACGTATTTGCTCGTATGAATATTTGAACAAATTGATGTATAATCTAAATGGATAAGTGAGGGTCTAATCTGGAAAATGGAATTTAAACAACGGTTATTGCTATTTATAGTTATTAATTATAACTATCATCTCAAATTTTACAGTCAGTACCACATTGCCTCCAACAATAGTCTATACATCCTCACCAGTGACACCGACAGATATTCAAACAACACTGTTAGACAATGCCACTATGACCTTAGAATCAACATCTGCAATTATATCATCCACAACCCATAGCACATCTATGCCGACGACGAAATCAGGTATGCCTATACTGTCAATATTGATCTATGATTGTTTGTATACAATGTCAAAACACTAAATCTTTGGTGTGTCAAATTTTACAACCAGGCTGTTTAATGTGACAAAACTTAGAATGACCAATCGTACAAATTTGGCACCTGACCTTCCAAGTCATCTCAAGTGAATTGTGTGTGTTTTTGAATCACTAGTTGAAGAACGACTGTTTGTTTGTAATTATTTCATAGTTATTGAGGAATTGTTAACGTTGTGTAACGATTGTGACGATTTTTAGTAACATTCTTCTGTCCACATGTTTAAAGTGAACATCATATCAAGTATCAATGGACATTTCATCACTTGTTATTAAGAAACAACAATTTTGAACTACCTGAGAGATAATTAAAAATTAGAAACTATTGTCTGATAGATGTTTTCCTCTAGATTTTTGTTTCTTCTTATAGAAAATACCACTCCACAATTATTTCCCCCTAGGTACGACAGAACCATCTTCAAACATGAATGTGTCGAGTGAAACGCTTAGCCCAGAGACAACAACAACATCAGCGGATGGATCTTCAACTCCTCAAGAAAATGATACTACACACACCAGCATTATGTCAACAACACTAACCATACCACCTGCATCTGGTACACAGGCTAGTACGTTGCCCTGGACAACTTTACCACGGTTTACTGTAAATTTGCAATCAACATCTCCAGTCGAAAACAATGTGACCACGAATGCAACTACACTGGAAATTACTTCACAGACACCAGTTCCAACTACGACAAACGTGACAAGCAGAGAATCTACCCAGCCTATGAATTCTACAACTGTTTCTCCAACTAATCAGCCGATCACAGCTACAACATTAGACAGTTCAACTCAGATACCAACAGATAATATGTCCTCAATAACACCCCCTCATTCAACCGTGACAGGGGACCTAAAGTCTACTTCGGTAAAGTCTACCACTCATTCAGGTCAGACTATCCAGACAAACACATCACCAACAGTAGTGAGTGGATCCACAGCACAACACACAGTAGTGAGCGAGTCATCGTCACCAATAGTAACAACACCCCATGTACAAAGCACTATAACAACTCCAGCAGTGTCAACAGGAACTCATGAAGCCCAAACTACTGCAAAAGACATTTCACAAGAAACACCAACCTGGTCTGGTGAGACACATACAGCAGGGCACACGCCAACGCTAGTCAAAACCACAAGTGGGTAATTTATTTTAAAATTTGCAAATGTGCTTCTTTGTTATTATTTTCAAATAATGTGTCTGAATAATGAAAAGTGCTGCTACTGGAAGAGCGTAATATTAATTCTGTCTGTCCTAAACAGCTCAGTCTATACTGTGTTGTTGCCATTAAAGACGTTGATTTATAATTTTTAAAATATATGGTCAAAGTAAGTAATCAATACTTTTAATATCATTGTTAAGTACATATTGTATTTAGCAATTTCAATTATTGCGTCAATGAAGACTAAAACTAGCAACATATACATAACCTAATCTGTATGAGTGACGTCATATGTTTACATGTTTGCCAACCAGCATGACAATGTATTATTACAAATGGCACTCAATAATTCAACATAGGCTCGTGGTCTGTTGCGGTAACATCGCCCATAAGTTGTTTTATGAACAGAAACATGTACATGTAATAATATTAACAAAATAGAGAACAACACCCTCATTAGTATGAGTGCGAAAGACCGGTTCTTGCCAATCACTCACTGTGCACGCATGTAGAACGTGAACATGTGCAATGGCCTATACTTCACTACTATGTGTGCATCATTTGATTTCTCTCTTCAGCAGGAACAACAACAATGGCAAAAACAACTGCAGCAGCAATACCAACAACAGAATCACCAGTAGCAACAATAGCAAAAACAACAGCAGCTGCAATACCAACACCAGAAGCTCCATCGCCACCAGCAACAACACTGACAAAAACAACTGCAGCTGCAATACCAACAACAGAATCACCAGTAGCAACAATAGCAAAAACAACAGCAGCTGCAATACCAACATCAGAAGTTCCATCGCCACCAGCAACAACACTGACAAAAACAACTGCAGCTGCAATACCAACAACAGAATCACCAGTAGCAACAATAGCAAAAACAACAGCAGCTGCAATACCAACAACAGAATCACTAGTAGCAACAACAATAACAAAAACAACAGCAGCTGCAATACCAACAACAAAATCACCAGTAGCAACAACAAAAGCAAAAACAACAGTAGTGCCAGCAGCATCAACAAAACCACTAATAACCGCACAAACAGGTATAAATATATTTTGTTCATGATTGAAAAGCACGTTATTCATATAAGCACAACAAATGCACAGTCATTTTGCCCCACTCGCTTCATTGCGCACTATGCTCACTGTTGCTGCCAGGCCACTAACCTAACAATGATATATTTTGTTCTAGGTGTAAACGAGTGTGCTCAAAACCCTTCGCCCTGTACTGGTCCACATACTCAATGTATTGATAAGGTCAATGGATATGAATGTGTGTGTAAACCTAGTTATTTTGAGAACAATGATATTTGTAAAAGTGAGTACAAACAATTTCAACTATGAAAAAGTATTAAGGCTTTATATTTGATCATTAGTGGCGTGAGTAGTTTCTCCTAAGTATGTTTTCATCACGTGTTATTTCTGCTTATTTGTTCACAGGGTCTAAAACCTTCAAGGTTGTTTTAATCATCCTGAAATTCCGCGCGATAACTGCGGAGTACATCAGCGACTATGACGACCCATATTCTGGACCCTATTCCATAATAACAGAGATTATATTGGACGAAGTAAGTTTGAGTACTATCTTCTCAGGAGTGAGAATTATCTAGTGAGATAATTAATTACAAGCATTAATGATATCCAATTACATTATGATAGGAAGATTTTTCACACAGGTCTGTTTATATAGACAATGTACTGCATTTTGCATATACAAAATAACAAGAATTGTTGCCTAGCACAGACTTGTATTCATCATTAAGAGATGCCTATCTAGCTTGCCACAATTTACTGATGAATTTACCAAGCTTGCAGTGGTATATATATATATATATATATATATATATATA